AGAGAGAGAGAGAGAGAGAGAGAGAGAGAGAGAGAGAGAGAGAGAGACATGACATGACATGACATGACACATGAAGATATGACTGCACAGTATTTCTGTCTGAGGTTTTGTGGCCCATTAAGAACCACAATGTTGCATTCACTTCCGTTGCGAGGCTCTTTTGTAGAAGTAGTAATTCTGCCTCTCCTTTTCCTTCCTGTTAATGCCTTTCTTTTGATCTCTGCGGCAGAGCTCCACAGCTACACCCTCTATAAAATGCATATGATGTTCTGACTACAATTTCTTGTTGCCCCAACATTAACGGAATAGGTTTTATTATGCCATATTGTGTATCCCATAGAAAGCAGTTTAGGATTTGCATGCGTCTGAAGGCCCAACAGGCATTGCAGAGATTAATGTGCACAGTACAAGTGCATAAATACTTTTGAGCCCTCTACAGAGCTTCAAAATGATATTTAACTGATGAAAACACTTTGAATATGTATGTATTAAGTTGTATATGTTGTTGTCTTGCCAACCAGGTGAATGACGTAAACTTTGAGAACATGAGCAATGACGACGCAGTGAGGATCCTCAGAGAGATTGTTTCCAAAACCGGGTAAGAACATACGACTTGCTCAGACCAACTACTGAGCGTCGTGATGATTGAACTCACTGCTGCAGAACTTACTGTATGTCAAGGGTAATCTTACACTTCAGGCTAACATGTTAATCTCATAGGGTGCTGTTTGGGTATTCAAAGGATTTAAAGAATTAAAGGAATCCTTATTGAGAAAAATCATGAGTGTAAAATACAAACATATTCCTACAGATTATCCATTGTTGCCAAAACAATACAGTACACACTAATACTCAGCATAAATATGCAGATCATTATATGGTGTCAGTTAGGGACTTTTAGTGACTTGAGTTAAGTGCTTTACACCAAAAAAAAAAAAAAACACTGACTTGATCTCTGAGCTGATGATTGAAACAGTCGAACAGCTAAATATAGACATTAATCCGTTCAGTCCTGTCTGCTGTGTTATTTGGTGCAATCAATCTTTGCTCCTGTGTCTTTGTTCTTTAAAAGACATCTGTTTAACTGGATTTTCTATTCTCTTTTTCTCCAGTCCTATTAGTCTTACTGTTGCCAAATGTTGGGACCCGTCTCCACGAAGTTACTTCACCATCCCTCGTGGTAAGACAGACACGAGTGCTATATTCATTTCTAACTTCCCTAGCAAAATTGATATCATAACAAATATTTTTATTACATCTGGAGCAATATACACTGATGTCTCTGAGGAGTTTTGACAAAGGTTAAACTGTATCTTTTATCAAAGTTGCCTTATTTATTTCATTTGTTCAGCTGAGCCAGTGAGACCCATTGACCCAGCAGCCTGGATCTCACACACCACCGCCCTGACGGGACCTTACCCCCACTATGGTAAAAACAACCAACCACCTCCTCCAACACACTCTATGAAGCATCCATTCTGTGGTAATTATGATAACCTTACAACATTTAAACAATTGAAAAGTTCTGTTTGTCAATATTTCTCTCTTACTCCTCTCCCATACCAGAGTTTGATGACTTGCCTCTGTCTGCAAGTAAAACAGACATGGCAACCATCGTGAAGGTGATGCAGTTGCCCGACTCTGGCCTAGAGATCCGAGACAGGATGTGGTTGAAGATCACCATCGCCAATGCCGTCATCGGTGAGAAACGCTGAGCTGTGTGGCCACCCACAAAACTACAAGCACACCTTTGTTTCATGTAGACTAAGCTTTGGAGTTTTTTTTACAAGTAATTTACTGTAAATAATAGAATACACAGACCTGCATTGTTTGCATACTGCTCTGAACATTGGTGCTCTCTGTGAGGAATTGTAGTCAAGTAACTCTTTAAAATAAACACAGCAATTATTATGTTTGTTTGCCTTTTCCTTAAGAGCTCAAAGTTGCATTACAAATGTGAAATTTAAAACATACTAGTTTTCCTCAAATCCATCAATTCATTTCTGTAGAGGCAGTTTACTGTTCCTAAATACAAGAAATAGTATCAGCATCGCACCTCATTTTAGCAAGTTTTTCTAAAAACAAAATCAAATCAATGTCTAAGGCCTGAAAAGTATCATGCAACATTTTAGCATTAATGGCACCAACTTTATTTAAAGCTCTTGCAATATTGTGCTGCTTGCATATTGAGTGTCTTTTAGCATCTGTTCAATACATTAGAGCAGTAGCCAACATCTCTGTGTGTGTTTGTTTGCTGTGTCAGGTGCTGACGTGGTGGACTGGCTTTACTCCAGAGTAGAAGGATTCAAGGACCGGCGGGATGCGAGGAAGTACGCGAGCAGTCTGCTGAAACATGGCTACCTGAGACACACCGTCAACAAGATCACCTTCTCCGAGCAGTGCTACTATACCTTCGGAGACCTCTGCCAAAGTACAGCCACTTCTCTCAGTGTGTCAATAATGCAACTACATGTGTATGTTTTTTTTATTAACAGAATGATTGAACTAAACCTGTCCCTTTCTGGTTCTGTTTTATTTCCAATAAGACATGGCGTCACTCAATTTAAATGAGGGATCCAGCGGCGGAGGCTCGGAGCAGGACACTCTGGCACCGCTCCCTCCCACCAGCAATCCCTGGCCCCTGGGCGGGCAGCCATTCCCCTACCCTCCCTTTCCCTCCGCACCCCCCAGCTTCCCCCCAGGATACTCAGACCCATGCCACAGTTTCCACAGTGGGAGCGCAGGCAGCCAGCACAGCGAGGGTGAGCAATGAAACGGTCCTCTGATTTTTTTTTTCCATCAAGCTTTCTTTAATTAATGTGATAATTTGACTCAACATGCAACATGACATTTTCCCTAATCCAAGTATTCCTGACATATGATGTCAGTAGTAACAAGTGTCTGACTCATGCTAATGTTAGCCGCTCTGCCTCTCTCGGGCAGAAAGCTGACATTGGATTGCATCTTTATTAATCAAATATGTGTATTCTACAACGCGTCCTGTATTGTCAAGGTCAATCATGAGCATCTTGAGTCATGCAGCGGACAGCTCTGCAGTACTGGGTGTGTACACGCAAAGAAATCTGATCAACCATGATTACAAATCACCAGCTTGAAATGATCAACACCGAGGCCATCCCTCATCAGCCCTGGATTGTGCTTTTGCTTCATTTTGAATCAGAGCGTGATATTGCTTTGTGTCGCTTCTGCATGGTTTTTGATGTCTGCATTGAGGGACAGTGGAGAACCAGGGGGTGTACAGAAGTGGATGGCTCCGATAGTGTGGTTGTAATACATTTCAAACCAGGCAGTCCAGACTGATAAAAGTAAGCTACATGTTACCATCTTTCAGTCTTGATTTTCATTGTTTTGAGTGATTCATCCAGACATCGTCATGTCTTGCTCTCCGCCGGCTGTCACTGAGTTTAGTTGGTTTATCTGCAACCTTCAAAACGTGGAAGGAAAGAGATGACAAAGATAAGAACATATAAAATACATGCGATGTATTTTATATGTAGTTTTGTTTCTTTTGGCACTTCCGAACAAGTGTTATGATGGTAATGATGTGTTTGCCTACTGGTTTGTAAAATAAGTGCATGTGTTTGTTTTCTGCATTTTTGAGGAGCAATTTTTCCATAACTTGAAGAGATTTTTTTTAGTTGGATGACAAGGAAAAGAGCAAAAACAGCTATGGGTGTAATAATAGGTTTGACCGTAATGGACAGATGCACAGTAATAGGGTACATTAGGTAGTGCGGGAAGGGCTGGGAGGTGTGTGTAATTCTATTGTTCCCTCTGTTTCTGCTGGGCAACGGTAGACTGAAGGAGGAGGTAGTCCCAGGACACTGGGGGAACCGGTAAGCCTGCTAACCCCCTCTCCTCCTCTGCTGCTCTCTTTCATTTTGCTCTCTCTATCCCATCGTTCATCCTTTTCATATTATTATATTCCTCCTCTCTTCCTCTTATGCTCAACATTCTCCACCTATCATACTGTGGTTTTGAGGTTGTCGGGTTTTTTTTTTTTGCGTCCTCCTTCGTTCATGTGTATCCTGTGTGTGACTCTCCTGACAGTCCATTCTCCCTCTCTGCACCTCTGGGCATGCATTCATACTGTGCTGGGAGGTGCATGATGCAGGATGATCACTCTGAGGCCTGTGCTATCATTCTCACAGATAGGGGGTGATCATGCACCACTTTACCCAGTACTGTCGGGCTCATTGCGGAAGGGTAGGCGTGGAATGTTTGATTTTGCAACAACGTGGTACACCTCTTTCAGTATGACGCCGGTAGTGTGCATTAACAGCATTGAGACCTGACACTAACCTACTTTTAAAACACTATATTGACAAAGTGATGTCACTTAATTGACGGGGTGTCTTTCTGATTCAGGTGTATCATGTTTTCATTTATAATCTGTGAATGTCCCGGTGTGTGTATGAATATTAGATGAAGCCCATGGCATTAGTTGCTGCCGGTGGAATGTGGGAAAGAAACCTTTGAGATAATGGTGTTTGCCCTCGACTGGTGACTCTTGCTAGATTGCATAAGAAAATATCTTGTCACACCTTAAAAAAAAAAGTGCAGTAAAGCATTTGATAGCAGTAATGCATTTTACTGTGTAGCGCTCAAGAGGAGATGTTTCTCTCAATGACATGTCATGTGATGTATAATGTCCGTTGCAGCTCATGAAGGCTAAATTAAGCTTTATAATATACTGTATTTTCTTTAATGTGTGACGTTCTGCCCTGGTGTTTATCAGTAGCTACATCCGCTGTAGCTGACGGGTTGGAGCTGCTGACTGTTACTATTACTGTAAATGATTATTGTTAAGTGTACTTGTACTGTAGAAGCCCAAGCTAAAACGTCTGCATTTTTTTTTTCCTCAACAGGAAGCCGAAGCAGTGGATCCAACCCCAGCGCAGGCAAAGGTAGACGCTCCTCTCCACAGGAGAAGGGTCAACGGTCAACATGCAGCGAATCAGAGCCCCGCATTCATGGAGGGAGGCGCGGTGAAAGGTCCGCTAGCCAAATGAGCCATCACAGCCACGCCGTCTCCAGTCACAGCCACGCCGTCTCCAGTCACAGTCACGCCCGATCAAGTCTCAGTCACAGTCAGTCACACAGGAGTCACTCTCACTCACAGAACAGCCACCCCTCCTTCACCTACAGCCACGCCCCCTTCACCCAGCCGGGGCCGGGCTCATGTGCCCACAGCGAGCGAAGCCATGCCTCCTCCTACGGACCCCCAGGCTTGCCTCCCCCTTATTGTCTGGGCCGTCTGGCCCCCAAGACCTCAGTCAGCAGCAGCACGCCCCCTGGAGCCCCTCCTGGGAGAGAGTTAGCATCCGTTCCTCCTGAGCTTACCGCCAGTCGCCAGTCCTTCCAGCATGCTATGGGCAATCCCTGTGAGTTCTTTGTTGACATCATGTGACAGGACAGTGCCTTCAAAACTCATCAAGCACAAAACAATTATCCTCGAAACCCACTCAGCCCTTTCTTTCCTGCCTCTCAATCTTTTTTGCCTCTGACCATCTCGTCTCTAACTTCATAATGTAGACACTTACTGGCCCTGTGCGTAAGCCCCCCCCTGCTAGCTGTCTATCCCTCTGATGTCCCAGCAAAGGAATACAGGCAGCAAGAGCACAACAGGAGGGAGGCCTCTCACACAAGCACAGATCCTCTGTGGCTGAAAACCCTCTTTTGTATTGACGTGACGTGTACAGTTTGTGAAACGTGAGTAGTATTCAATGTGGTGATTCTTTAAATCTGCCACACAGACATTCTCCGGAGTGTGTACTCTACCTGGGATATTTTCTCTCCTGCAAGACCTTTAAGCTGCTGGGCCTGGATCTCAATCCCCCAGACCCAGGCCGACACCGACAGCCCGCACTTAGGAACATTTCTTTGGGCCGAGAACTTGTAATTTCTTTCCTGACTCAAATTTAGCACGTTGCACCAAACCTCCGGCCCCAGTTCCTTTATACTGTGGCGTTACCACCGGCTTATTTAAGCTCCTACCTGCCAACTACTAAAACGCTAACCTCGATCAGTTCACAATCCGTGGATTTCTTCAACTTTATAATTGAGGCTCTGTAGCCAGCCGTTGGTTTAACTAGGCTGCATCTTGCATGACTGTCTCAACTGCTTTAAGGAAAAGAAATGTATTAATACATTTTGTTTAAAGTATTACCGTTATTGGGGGAAGTTGTTACCTCTTGCCAATGTTCTAAAGGAAGAATCCGTACACTGGATGATTTTTGTGATGTTATTTATGTGATCATGTTGCGTTGATGGTGTCATACTTTGTCTACTAAGGCTGGCTGACAGACAATCAGACATCACCCTTTGTGATTCAGTGGTCGATTTCCGCTGTCCTAGCTGTGCTTTGTGGAATGTATCATTATTCCCGTCAGTGATTGAACCCTGACATTCATACCACTTTGGTTTAAACACATTTAAGTAAGCAAGTCAACTTACAAACAGGATTGCAAACAGTGGACACCCACCACAGCTGTGAAAGCAAACTCAAAGTGTTGACAGGAGGTAAACCAGTTTGCTCAAAGCATCGCGGTTGTCTGCTTCGTTAAAAAGTTGTGCGATAAAAGCCAAAGCCTCTCACTGTTGTGGATATGTCTTCTTAATGTAGGCGCTGTCTGTGATGATTACCATCTGACACTTCTCATTTTACAACTTCAAAGTGACTTCAAGGGGAATCCTGGCCTTCAGATTCTGACCTCCTTGCAAAAATAATGGAAAACCCCTGTTAGTATCTACCGAAAATCTAGTTACAAGAAGGACTTAACACACAGATAGTAGTTTTATGAGCACTTTTCCATTCTGTCTCTCCCTCCCTTTAGTATGAAACACTGTTTGCAATCAAAGCTTTCTCTTTAATTTTGTTTCTTTACAAAAAAAGAATAAATTGTACATAGAAATTTATTATATATATAAATAAAAAATATATATGTTCAAAATGATGTCTACATTTTCCAATGATAATCCCCCATGAGGTTTTAGAAAGTGAAAATTCTCATCCTAAAATATACTTTTCTCTTTTTTTCAAAGGACCACTAGAGGGAGACATTCAATGTGTAATTTACTTCTACTAACGACACTTAAATTCTAGTTTGATACAGAAAATGTATTTTGGCAATAATTGCGAATTTGAATTACGTACACAAAATTTTTAATATTAAGTTGACACAATCACGTAGTCTTCTCAAGACTTGACATCAAGTAGACATTTACAAAAAAACTACAGATGAACTGTAAGAGGCGTGATATCGTCACAACTCCAAATGTGTTACCCCCACATCATTTGAGTTAACAGTTAACACCCCTGAGTGGAACTTCTCAGCACCAGCACTGCTGCCTGTACTTTCCCAGTGGGCTGAAGTTACTCTCAAAAAGCTTCAAACGTATGCTAACCCCATATAGACCCCACTGTCTGCTTGACCAGCCAACCACAGCTTTTTGAAGACAAGTAACACTACACTCCCCCACATGAGAGGAAGTGTTATAAGAAGCAGGAAGGAAGTGATGTCAGAGCCTTATAATAACACCCTCGCATGCAGACGTAGATTAAACAGTACCCTGCTAAAGAAGCAGCCCTCAGAAGAACACGGTGGTCTGTGTTCGCCTGCATTATGTTCACAATATGGAGCATTATGTCAAATGAAAATGTAGTTTTGACACAGATTTCTCTCACTGACATAGTTGCAGTTTGACTATGACTTAGGCTGATGTCAGCCTACATGCAAATACACACACACACACCCACACACACTCATTTACCAGCAGAATGAATGAATATCATTACTACTCTACTTAACGAACAAAACTATTTCCCAAGTCAGTATGTTAATTGAGCTTCTGGGGTTTACTGTGCTTCAAAGCTGAATGTAGGGGGAGGTTTAAGGGTAAGTGTGGGAGGCGTTTCTTGGCCAAGGATACGTAGGTGGATGAGCTGCTGACTTTTGACATCACAGTCTCAGGTAACGTGGGTATGCCTGTACAGTAGGCGAGCCATGGTAGGCTGAGAATGACGCGTTAGAATGTCAAAGCCGAAATCTGCTAAATGTCATTCAAGTATCGTATGACCGTGATGCACGAAAAACATGACGCAGCAGGTGGCTCTTGTGGTTTCACATTGTTATTTGTATGTGAATTGAAAAAGTAAGAATAAGATACACCATCATTAAATAACCTTGAGGAGATGGATGTCATCTACCATCTCATCATTAGTCACCAAATTTCCTGTATTCCCAAAGGTCAAAGCATTTACTGTCAGGAAATGCCCGTTCCCTTTTTGAAATAAACACTATGAACTAGTGTTGGAATGGACACACCATTAATCATAAAACTACAGCTACTCATTAAATGAATAACCTCTTGAAAACCCCACTTTCACTTTAGCACAATGAAATGATGCAGCTCCTCCCGCTTCCAACTCGTCACATACTGAGTCTCCTGACTCGTCACACAATGCCGCTCTGTCTGGTTAGGCTTGAACTAACTATGAAAACTAAGTAAAACGTAAACAACATCGTACAGAGTACTAAGTACATAAAGCATGTCACAAACATCACTTACATAACTTCCAAACAACTCAATGCCGCTCTCTAATACAGGCATCCTGGCTGAAAGTCCTGCGTTTTATTTGACTCATTCACCTCCACTTCCTCTGTTATACTGTGTCGTCACACGCATTTTCTGTTAAAGTCTAATAATGAAGCGGTGCTAAAGGGTGCCTTGTGACTTTGGTGGCAGACACTGGAGGGCATGAGAACAGGCTGGCACACTACTCATGCTGCACTTTTTGTTTCGGTTTTCTTTGGTTCACTTTGCTGTGGTTTCTATTATAGGGAATTAAAAGACATAATAATAATAATAATAATAGGTGATTATTGCAAAGAGGGGGAGTTTTTTAAACTTTTCAGACACTCGTGACATGACTCATCAGCATCAATCCTTTTTGTGACTGATGTCATGATACGCTGAGACAATGAACAAAAGCAGCAAAGCTTTGTTTAGCAGACTATGCAGTTCAAACGAATAAAATACAATTGAACAATGCATTTGACACATCAAAGTCAATAAAAGTACAGTTCGTTTCACTTTTAGTACCGGTACAATAAGTAAAACTATTATTGTACAAAAACAGTGGTACTGAAAACATATCAAACCAGTTACTTAGTGACATTTGGCCACTGAAAAAAGTCATAGTATGTCGTAAAAAGCTCATCATGAATGTCATAGTATAGTGTAATGAAGGTCTTTTGTAGGACAATATGTGTACAGTAGGTCTACGGGTAACAGAAGTAAGTAACAAACTGGAAGGGTTGAATGTTGTATTTATGATGAGATGCATCTCACTTAGTTTGGCTAGATTTGTTACCTCAACATAATTTGCTCATTGTGGTCTATCAATTGCCAAAATGATCTTTGATTGATTGAATGAAGTATTAACTGCTAAAAATTATATTAAAAAAAGTTATAAAAAGGTATAGTATGTATAAAAAAAGTCAAAAAGTCACGGTATAGTATGTACAATAAAGTCATGAAAAGTCTTGAAATAGTAAATAAATAGTCAATGAAAAGTCATGGTATTGTATAAGTAGGTACGTCTTAGTAGTGAAAGTTAAAAGTACTAAAAGTTCTATATACTATGTTAAAAAAGGTTATAGTATAATATTTTTAAAAAGGCATATAGTATTTGTTTACAGTAGGCCTGCTGGGAACAGAAATAAGGAACAAACTCTTAAAAAACATAGTATGTCAAAAAAGTTTTTAAAAAGTCAATGTCTAATGTTGAAAAAATGTCATGAAAAAAGGCATGTTGACACATTTTATGAAAAACGTTATAGTATAGTATGTCACAAAAAGTCATAGTAAAGTATGTCGAATAAAGTCATAGTGTAGTATGTAAAAAAAAGTCATAGTATAGCATGTCGAAAATAGTTAAAACAAAGTCATAGTATAGCATGTCAAAAAAGTCATAGTATAGCATGTCGAAAGACATACTACTCTATGACTTTTTTCCACATGCTATACTATGACTTTTGTCACTTTTTTCAACATGCTTTACGATGACCTTTTTTCCACTTGTTACTACACTGACTTTTATCATGATCTTTTTCGACAGTGTACAACAGTGTAGTAAAAAATATCAAAAAAATATCAAAAAAGTCATAGTATAGTATGTTGAAATATGTCATCAAAAAGTCACAGTATAGTATGTAAAAAATGTCATAGTATAGTTATAGTATTTAATAAAAAGTAATTTTATAGCATGTCAAAAAATGTTAAAAAAGTCAAAATATAGTGTATTGAAAAATGTCATGAAGAAAGTCAGTGTAGTACGTCAAAATATATTATGAAAAAAGACAAAGTATGTTTAAAAAGTCAGAGTATAGTATGTTCAAAAATGTCAGTCATTGTATAGTATATTGCGAAATGTCATGAAAAAAAAGTCATAGTAGAGTCATAAAAACGTCATCGTATAAGCATGCCATAAGAAGTCATCAAAAAGTTACCAAAACTATGACTGGCCTATTTTTTATTCATGAGTCATTTACAAACACAAGACAAGACACGCCCCCCCCTGAGTATAAATGTCATGCTCAGCTGGCTGTGAGGTGATTATGAGTTGGAAAGCCCTGAAGCTACAGCACAGAGAGACTTCTTCATGACATCATTAATTTTCCCACCCCATACAATTACAGCTGAGTGGCTTTAAGAAGGATCATGTATTTGAGATTAAAGCTCCAGATTTAGAGAGAAAAAAAAAAGTGCCTTTTCCTACAAATAAATTAGGTACCTGGGATATTTCTTGGACCGGATTACCTCACGTCTTTCCTGAGGTGCCTGTGTCGACCTTACCCAAAAGGCTGGAGAGCTGACAACAGCATGGCTGCAATCTTACAGGCGATGGGTCTCTCTCTGCTCCTGCAGGGCTGTTTGTGCAGTGTTGGGCAGACCAACAGAGGCTGCTTGTCATGGACACCAAAAGGGGAGAATGTTTGCTGTGAAGCCTGTCATCCTGGTAAGTAACAAAGGAGATAATGAGCGTTACAGCTCTCTAAGCTTTTGAATTATAACATGTTAATTCAGAAGAGCATTTTTGACATTTTTGACAGCTACAGGTGAATATACTGTATGTATCATTCATATCCTGGTGTTGATACCGTTATTGTGGGCTTTAAGAGTTTTAAAAGTTTCAAAATAAAACAGCACTGCTCTTAATGAACTAATATATTCATGAGGGGAAGGGGAGATGCCTTCTCGGCTCACTTTCCTCATAAACTCAGTTGTTTTACAAATATGTTTAACACAGAATTATCCTTTCCCAGATCAAATGTTCAAGTTATGCCATAGTCAAATCAATAAGCCCTCTGAGTTGTATGTGCTTTTGCCTGTAGAAGTAAAAATTTTTTTTCCAATTCCAGACTTCTTCTGTGGTAACTTGTAACCAAAAAATAGTTTCAGTGGTTTTTCAGCTAATACCACAAAAAAGATAAAAGGCGTGGATGGTGCAGCTGAAAAGTCAGAAAATTTGGAGTTGTGATACATATTTAATATGTCATAACAACTCCCAAAGAATATAGTTTTGGTAACTGTAGGTTGCTGGAGCTGTTTTTCACAAACAAAAGTTATTTTTAAAAGCTTTAATGCTTTAAGGGGTAAAGTCCTATTATCCTATTAAAACCTATTACATTAATCTCAATGAAACTGGTGTGACTAATGTGACAGAGTTTACAGTATAGCTTTTAGTATATCTGTTCTGTTTGTGTTTCTCTTGTATTTAAATATTTGTATACATGTTATATGTGTGTTTAGTGTCAAATGTCAAATGAATTCATCTTGAACCTTCTTTGTAGGACACCACCTGGTCAGCGATTGTGGCCCACGGCCGAAAGACCTTTGTACTCCTTGTGAGCCCGGGAAATTTGCAGAGAACCCTAAAAACAAGTGGTGTACCAGGTGTACACAGTGCGTAGGTATGTTAGCAGATCCCAAAACAAAAAAATGATTTCTTCAGTAGTGTACTACAAGCTTTTTTTTTACAACTCTCTTCCAATATCTTTGTATGTGTAGGTGCTCAAGTCTATGTGAAACAGTGCACCCCCACAACTGACACACAGTGTGGTTGTAAAGAAGGACTCACCTGTGGGAATGCCCGCTGTACCTTCTGTGTTCAAAAGTGTGACAAAGGTCAGGAACCCACAGACAAACGTAAGTAGAACTAAAAAAAAAACAAAAAACAAGCTCATGACTTTTTCACACAGACAGATTAACAGGTTATGATGAGTGGCAAATCAACTGAATGGCTGTCTGCACAGGTTTATGCAGACCATGTCCAGATGGAACCTTCAATGACCAAAGTCACCAGATGTGTAAACCCTGGAGTACCAGGTGAGATATTACCGGCTCTAAAAAAAAAACACTACTGTAGCCATGTTTCATTGTTGTTGTGCTGACTGACAGATTTGATGTCTTTGTTTTCTTGAAGGTGTCCCGATCCAGAACAAATGATTGTGGCCAAGGGAGATGCCCTTACTGACATTAAGTGTGCTAATGTTTCAGTTAGCACACTGATAAATCCAAAGAAACCTGGTAGGATGTGATTCCGTTGTGCTTTGATTATTGTATTTATTTAGAGTCGGTAATAATTTCTTGTTGTTTTCTGTCAGATCCCACAGAACAGGCATGGCCATTGGTCATATATGTGGTCACCAGTGTAGTGCTGACGGCCTTTGGCATCATCATCATCTCCATCAGCAGCCTTATGGCCAAGAACATCATCCAGAAAAGAAACAAAGAAAGAAAAAAGCCAACCAAAGAGACACTGATAATCAGACCCCCTACAGGTAATTACTACCATACTCCATGATATATAATTAAGAGATTATGCTGCCCATACTACATTACTTACTGTGATTATACAGGATGTTTATCAAGCCAAAAATCTCAAATACATTGAAAAAGTATTTGATCCGTCGTCCTTCTCTTTTTTTAGATGAACCCAGGACGTTAATAGCGATTGAGTGCAGTTTCCACGAGGCCCAGCAAGAGCAGGGCAGCAGCTCAGAGTCGCTCGTCTCCAAGGACTCCTCAGAGCAGCTCATTGCATGACCGGCTAAAGCGCCACACTGAAGTGCTTGTTGTGTTTATGTTGAACTCCGTGAAAGGAAACAGGATATCCTGAATAAGATAGCGTCCCTATTTTCGATACTGAGATTGGAGGAGCTGTGTTGGAGATTTGACAGAAACAGAGCAATGCGTTTACCCATCTGTCTTTTACTCAGCCTATTTGTCTTTTATCAGAGTAACCAAAGCTACTGGGAATATCTTGACAGGTCAGATCAGAGTCAACAGTTTGCTCTACAATTACACCAGGATACAATTACAGTGATCTCTCGATGACACAAATAAATAGTGGAAGGGGAATTCTGAAAGGGAAAAAACAAAGTCTATTCATGTGAATTACAGCACATGTATGCACAGTGAGGCTGTGTTTTTTCCTCCTTCGGTTAAGCTTGAGAGATAGAGTATTCCTAAATTGCTGTGGAAGGTTTTGAATTAAAGAAGTGAATTTGGCACCAGATAATGGTAAAACAGCATCCTGTGATGCCCTTTTTGTCACATTCCCTGAGCCAGTTTGTGACAATACCCTTACATTCAAAACCAAAGCCTTTAGAAACCACCTGAAATGGCATTCAAAAAAAACCCAAAAACTATTATATAACAAAGTAATTGAACTTGTGCCAATGGACTATGTAAAATACTGTAGCCTTTGAATGAGTGTGAAGGAGTTTCACTACTCTATTTGCATGTCTAAGCGGTAAAGTGTGGATGTACAGTACAGGTGGGCGTAGAAGTCTGACAGTGGACAGGTTTTAGTCATGCCTAAGGCTTAGTCCACATTTGCCTCCAAAAACAGATGGTTTACTGTTGAACTGTACATTTCTAACCCTGGTTTTGGTGCAGCAAAACTATAACAATGCTGTGTCAATTATGATTTTATGTGGTGAAACATTTAGGATTTATCAGGGGATAGTTTGTTAGTTTGTGTCTGTTTTGGTTTATTACCAATATTTAAAGTATTTAAATGAGTCTATAGAACACAGAAGAGAACAGCTTTGTATACTTCTGTAAACAAAGCTATCATGTTGAAGACAATGTGGTATATAGCCTCTTCCACCCTACCTAACAGTACCAGGAACTATATGGAAATTCCTACTTCGTTGGTGTCAAAAATTCCAGTGAAGGGAGTTTCCATTTTTGTCAATAAGTAATACTATAATATGTTAAGGGGAACTATATAGTACACAATCTGCAAATCTACAGCACCGTGGTCTTTTATTGTATTTTTAAATGGGGTGAACAACATTATGTTACGATTTGAACCGCACTTCTTAAGCAAGCTGGGACATGCCTCTTGAGCAAGAGTTGGGCAACACATGGGTATCCCAGCGGACTATTCATTGAGATTAAATGTCAGATGTGATTAGTCATGCGCAGCATGTAGATCTGTGAGATTCCCGTGTGCGTCATGTGGGAAGTCCTCGGGACAAATATGATCAACACTTGGCAAATATACGAGGCACACATGTCAAAATTAGGCTCAAGGGTCATGTGGAAACCCCCCCTAGACAGTACTGTATCCTTATTGCTTATCTTCTAGCACAATAGTGGGCAGCTAGATCAGACCAAGTGGAACTTGTTTTTCACAAACGCATGTCTTTTGTGAACTGTAGCAGGCGTATGTCCTTCTGAAATGGAACATTTGAGAAATGTGCCGTGTGGGCTGGGGGTTAAAATGTTGGTCCACACCTTTTGCATAGTATGTATGCTATGTCAAAGCTCGAGCATAGTGATGGTTGATGAAAGACCACAAAGTTCACAGGCGCTGCCTTGAGAAGAGTTACCACAGTACATTCTACATCATACAGTAACAGTTTTATAAGAACTGTAGCACTTTATCTGACAACTGTTACCTGATTGTATTTTATGCATTTCTGGTTTGTTTGGTATGAAAATGACTTTCTGCCTTTTTTTTTTTTAAATTGTGTACATGACATGCTTGTTCAGAGCTGTCCATGGATTACTCTGTAGTATGCATTCTGTTACATTGTACTTTTATAACTTTTTAAAAACGGCAAATAAAATTTGAATTTTATTTGTTGCTCTTTCATACAGAACAATTGCATTCATAGTGGTCCACCTAAGCAGTGGCCCATTTCATTTGTACAAAAGAAAACAGAAAAGAAACCGTCAAAAATAGTGTTTTAAATGTGGGAGTAATATAAACATACAAACAAACAATCAAATCTTTTGTTAAAACACATTATCTATATATAAATTAATAATGTTAACTGACATACTTGTTTCTGGACTCATAAAAACCCACCTGGTAAAGTAAACAAAAACAATAATTGGATCTGCACCAAGGAATTTGAGCTTAAAGGTCGACTTACAAGCTTTTTGATGCTTTTCCACTGAACTCACTCGGCGAATGGAGCTAGCTCTGGTGTCATGTGACCATGAGACGCAGTTTTAGATTACTTTGTGAGATATACTGTCCCCAAAGGATGTCGAAACATCTGGATATTACAAAACAACTTAATGATTGTTGTAATATGCTTTTCATTACGAGTTAAATAAGTTCCTTTGATTGTCATTGTACTATTGTAAACATGGCTGGAGCCCTGCTACACGGCTTTCACACACTCTGAAAGTGGATGTCTTAAAGTAGCTCGTCTGAAAAACCACATCACTCAGGTTCAAGTGTTAAGTTAAGATAAGTAACTTCTGTTTTTGTTATTTTGGATGCCGTTTGGTGGTGGTCCCTCGCTACTACTGCACCACTGTGCCGCCACCAAGGAGCATCCAAAATGTCAAATGACAAAACACAAAGTGGTTATAGATAATGGATGGATGCTCACTGCTTCCCTTAATTAAAACAAAGAAAATGTACAAATATAATAAAAAAAATGTATCGTGTATCATTAACACTGAATAATTCAAACAATACTTCGATAAACCTACATTTTCCCTTTGAAAATTATAAGAGGCACGAGTCCAAAGTGTTGTCATTATTCACGTAATCATGAAATATTATAAAATGTCACTTCTCTCAATGTTCTCTGTGTTCCACTGGTCTAAAGTGCTAGTAGGGGTGGCTGGTAGTAGTCTTCAACCTTAAAGTAATATAGTAAATAATCAGAGCTCTGTAGCACAACTGAGTGTGTGTGTGTGTGTGTGTGTGTGTGTATGTGTATGTGTGTGTGTGTGTGTGTATGTATGTATGTATGTATGTATGTATGTATGTAT